TTATTATTAACTGTGTGTCCACAGGCCTTCATTGTACCTGTCCCACTCAGGCCTTAGGGTATTAATTGCACTTTCATTGAAACGTTCAAGTTTAAACTGATGTTACACTATTCCCACCTGGGAGATGCCTCAGCGTCCCGAGATGGAATGGTAACAGCCTCAGCAAATCTTTCAGCCCCTCTGCGATCTCACTCCCAATCCGTGTAAAACCACTCCTCCTTCTTTGGTGGTGCTCTTTGTCTGCTTTTGTTGCATTTGTTTGACTCTACTTTAAAACCCATTTCCCCCAAGGGATACTAACGCTTGTCCTGAAGTGATTTCGCATAGCGTCTGGAGTGTCCCAGGTGTCCCCTCCAAAGCTGACACCCCTCTGGCCTTTTATCTAAAATCCGATTGGAGTCCACAGACAGCAGCAGCCTTGGGGTTTCAGATACACGTGGAGACTTTTTATGAGACTAGAGAGGGGATCTGCATCAGAATGCGATCTGGAAAACAACAGGTAGAGATGAATCCCATTCTGCCCTTGTAATCTACCTCTTCCATTTCCTCTTAATTACCCCCCCCCCCTTTTACCCCCACCCCCCTGGCCCATTCCCACTTCTTCTCTCTTTCTCCTCTACCTCTCTCCCCAGCTCTCCTTCTGCGCACATGAAGCACAGCCGAATCCTTGTGTGCTTCTACTTTCCAGTGCCGAATGAACTTCTACTTGACCCCTCCCCCCCCAACATACAGACAGCAGACCTGGGGAATAATGAGATCTGGACACAACATACAAGCAGAAACCGAGATGACTGCACTATAAAAAGCCACTTGTTCACAATGTTGAAGTTACATAATCAGCAATGACTGTGAGATCTCAAGGGCTACTAGGCAGTAATTGGATTAATTAATAGTTGCTAGGTCACATCAAGGCTTGGTTATGCAAGGCAGAAAATGTTGATTTTGTCTACATAACACAATAAATGTATTTGCCCTCTGGCTAACTGCTGGATTTGTTTTCCAATGTAGTGTGTTCTGACACGCAGGCAGATGATCACCCTCGCTAAGTGCTGTCTCATGATATTTGCACAGGGGCCCATTAGTGTAACCTTCTCTCTGACCCGAGGCTCAAGGTGGGAGTCAGCCACTGCAGCAGTGCTTTCCCAGCAAAGGCCCACACAGAAACACACCGCGCAGGCCCGCACGAGCTGTCGGCCAGGTTTCCAAAAAACAGCACCAGGACTCGCTCACTTCTGTAGATGTAGCCAATGGGGTTCATCACTGCAGGCCAATTAAAAGACTTGTTTCAGATTCGACAACGCAACACGATCCCGTGAAAGGAAACTAAGGGAGGGGAACATTTAAAACTGAGGACAGGAGGCGCTTTTGGTGGGAATCTGGACAAGTTACCCTGCCATGTTATTGAAGCCAATACCTTGGTTTCTTTCAGGAAACAGCTGGAAGAGGTCATCAGATCAATTGATTATAAGTAATCAGATGAGCTCATCAGCTGACCTCGTTGTAAAAAAAATAAAACATTCCTAACATTTGAATGGCACTGAACCTTCTTAGTGAGCCAAGCTGCCTTTACTAAAACTTATTTTGGAAACCTAATTAGAATGAATGTCAGCTTTTTATCTCTCCACTTGGCAGGAATAATATAGAGTGACTGAGGTGTAATTTTAAACCCCTGGACATTATTCTGCCTGCCCAGATAGGAGGACAATGAATGATCACTTACTTAGGTCACAGGAACAGTTTGAGAGGATGTCTAGGATTGCTCAGTCCTTTAGTAAGCTTCATAGCGCTTATCAGGGAGGGGTGCTGGGATGATAAAGATGGCCGTGAGGGTAGCTGTGTTGAAGGATTTGGATGAGATCTCCACGCAGATGGATTTCGACACGGCACCGGAAGGAGTAGAAAGCAAACAGGGCAACACTCTCTCCGAAAAAACATCCCTGACACGTTTCGCTTAAAGAACACTTACTATTCTGGACATTTGTGCAGAAAAGTACATTGCAGTCAGCTTCACTAGCCAAACGTCTGAAACCGAAGGGTCTTGGATAAGTTCAGATTCAGCAGCAGGAGCCAAAATCGGCCATAGAGGCCAATTTTCAGAAAGGTGCCTACTGCAGGGCTTTTCGTCTTAACAGAGTGAGTGGCTGTCAGGATAAATGAAGTGTTATGAGAGCTGTGCTGTCGTAAACCAGAGACCTTTTGCCACAAATGCGGTTTATTATTACCCTAATGAGAATCCTGTGCCTAAAATTGATTGTGTGTACAGAGAGAGTGATAATTTGTGCGGCAGTAAGGAAAGGCAGTGCCAGCCACAGAGCGACAGCAGACCAGTCACAAGCCCATACAGAGGGGTCTAAATTATAGTTTAAGAATAACAGCTTATTCTTACACTAACACTGTGTTTTCACGTGAAGAAAAACAAAAGATGTGTGAGATTTTTAATTGGAACTGTTACCAGAGGCAGTGGCTCTGACCCCTGTGAGGCACTGTGTTTCTTGCCTCTCGGAACGGTGTTCAGCACCGACGTGGTGAGACGCAGGGCGAGCTTACAAGCTTGACAAGGTGGCGCCCAGGAATGCTAACGCAGCTCAGATTTGCTGAACAAATCCAGTTTTAAAAGGAAACTGAGGAGAGAGGGGATACAGCAAAACCTCTAAACACATGGGTTAATCAGGACCTCTGTTTGCATGCTGACTGTTTTAATTAGAGACGGGCAGGCAGTCCCGAACTGGCGTGTGTTGTTCTGGCAGTGCTGGCAGAACAGAGAGCAGCTTCACGTCTGTGAGGGGAGAGAGGGTGCGAATAACTAGTTTCGTTGATCGGGCTTCTGGTTCTGGTCCTCGTCTGTCTGTGAAATCCGATCTCTCTGGGTCTCTTATTCTCGTTCTGTGGTTAGGTTGCCTGTCCGTCCATTCGTGGGTCAATCTAGAACAATAACTGCTTTCGTGGTCAAGTTCACAGTACGCCATGCTGATGATCATGTACCCGTTACTTTGATTTTAATACGCGCAAAGCAGAATTAGACTTCTCTTTGCTCTTAAAACGCTGTAGCATTAGCGATATTTTCATTTATGCTGGTAATTCTCTAATGCTCTGAAAGGTGCTCCTTATAGTAGCTCTCTACCCTTCAGCCTGTCTCCTGCAACTGTCTCCTGTCTCTTTCATACTGACCCCCCTCTTCTGCTCTCTCTTTCTCGGCAGGCTCCCTGACAGTGTCCATCACAGATATGAGAGCACCGGTGGTGGGGGGGTCCGGGGGAGTCTATGCTCTCTGCTCGGCTCACCTAGCCAACGTCGTCATGGTAACCGGCTTTGCTATTATCTTGACTTGGCCTCTAGCGAAGGCCTCAAAAGACAGTGTCGGCTCCTTCGAGGGCTTTTCTCCCAGACTGGGTGGCTTTATCCCTGAGCCACAGATAATACACGTTCTAGATTAGAACTCAGATGGAAAACCCACTTGTGCTGTGTTTTGAAGATGACACCAAATAAGTCAACACTAGCATATTCCCCAACGTCTGTGTCCTGCGCAGACTGAAACTCTTTATGTTGCTTGCATGCGGCACTACAGCTGGAAAAACCCGTCCCTCCGAGCCTGGAGAATTACAGTCTGGGAAAGTCAAATGTAATTTATCAGTTCCTTTCAGGAAATATTGTGCTGTCATCTTCAATTCGTGATGGAATGTCCCATTCCGCACAGACTGCGCACAGCATTTAGGATGGTGAAGAAATCATTTCACTGAGTGGGAATGTATAATATCACAACACATTACTGTAGCAGACATCAGCAGTGGCTTATGCGGTTGTGTGAGGTCTTTGGCCTGATTATTTTCATTTTTGTTGAAATGGCTTTGATTGGAGTTGACTCTGATACACAGTAAAAGCAATAAGAAGACAGTTACATGGCTGAAAAAGAGCTGCATTCGGACTCACGTGTACAATCTGCACAATACATAAAAGTTTATTTTTAAACCAAATTAAAGTTACTAAATATCAAGTGTTTTTTACCATAACTGTCGTACAAGAACTGTTAGAAAACTAAAGTGCATATAAGCTTTTGTGCATAAACAGTATGTACAGTATAAATGTATATTTGTGTTTTCCACACAAATTATTTTTCATGTGGGGTTTGTCAATAAACTACTCAAAGATTTTGACTAAAGGCATATTTGGGGTTAGTGTAAGACAAATAATCAAGCCTTGTGCAAAGGAGTGGGCAGTTTCCTGTCTTTGAGGGTAGGATCCTTCACATATGTTCCTCAGTTCTTAACTCCTTTAGGCTTGGAAAGCTGAAATAAATGATAATCAAATCTGGATGATTTAACGAGTAATTCGTTGAACAGTATTATCTAAGGGCTCAGCTGCAGTGAGAACTGCGAAGCCTGAGGCCGACTGCAGTAACTCCTGCCTGGGCAAGGATGTTTTCAGGAGACGAGCTCTCCTGTATGAAGATTCAAAAACAGAAAAGCACCTAAGAGAGGTCATTGTGCCCACTTGTTCCCTTGATCATTTCAGTTTGAAGCCAAAGTTCTTTCTTCCATTTTCTAATTTCCAATCCAAATTTGGAGCCACCAACTGTTAGTCAGACACAGCTCTCCAGCAGCAGCTCCTGGATGAGACGCACAGACAGGCTCCTCCAACGCGCGGATCTGCAGAGACATTCGCCATGTGGCTCAACAGCGCCTGATAGGAGAGGTGGCGCTGATTGGAGGAGGAGCTGTGCTTCTCACACTGATGTCACTAAAAGCCTACAAGCTCCCTGAAAGCTGCAGGATCTGATGTCGGAAAGATGTGAGATCCCTGACCAGTTAATCCCAGCTTTCACCCTGGGCAGTGATCAGAAAAGTGGCATGACCCAGACTTGAAGCGCTTGAAGCGACCAGACTTCTAATGAATAAATCCTTCTGGCTACTGTTACATTCTGTAACTTTCCCATTTTCCACGTTTACCACAGTTTTACTGCACATATGCTACAGTGTC